GGCTGAGGCAGAAGGATCGCTAGAGCCCAGCAGGTCGAGGCTGCGGTGGCAGGAGCATGCCACTGCACTCTAGTCTGGGCGACAGAGTGAGACTCCAACTCAAAAAAAAAAAAACCCAGTTCCATGGGACATTCATTAGACTCATGTGGTAGGGAGGTAGGTGGCCTCATCCCATCGTCAACAAAGGTGTCCCCTCAAGCTACCCCGTCCTATTATTCTAGTGTGAGCAACTCCGTGGTTGACTTTCAGTGAACTGTTTTAATGTTCCCGTTTTTCACTTATGTTCCCTTTTGCATTGTCCAAAGCCACGGTGATTCTGTCACTAACACTCAGGTTTGCAGATGAGACAAGTACTTCTAAATTCACTTGTAACTGGTGATAGGCTCTTGTTACCCCTTGGCAGAATCCTTATTCTTTAGTCTCTTAGGAGAGACAGGCTTCATTCCTTTCATTTTGTCTGCTTTTGGTGGCATATAGGAGTGTGATTTTTACTTCTTAGTGGTCTGGGAGGTAGGGCAGGCCATCCATGGACAGGAATGCTTGACCCACTTAGGGTAAGTTTGAAAAAACTTTGAAGGCCTGGGAGTGTTGGGTAGGGTAGGTTTCAGCCTGTTTTTACAGGTGGGAAAACTGGCATTGAGGTTGATTTAAACCATTTCTCTTAAGATGAGGCCTGGTGTGAGACCCTTTGGGGAGAACATGTTTGTTTAATGAATTTGGTGGCTCATACCTGTAATCCCAGTGCTTTGGAAGGCAAAGGTGGGAGGAATGCTTGAGGCCAGCCTAGGCAACATAGTGAGATTCCATCTCCTCAAAAGATATTAAAAAATTAAGCTAGCCGGGCTAGGTGGCTCAGCCTGTAATCCCGCACCTTTGGGAGGCTGAGGTGAGTGGATTGCCTGAGCCCGCGGGTTTGAGACCCGCCTGGGCAGCGAGACCTCATCTCTAAAATAAATCAAAAAATCAGCTGGGCATGGTAGCGCATGCCTGTAATTGCGGCTACTTGGAAGGCTGAGGCGGAGGGATCACTGGAGCCCAGCAGGCGAGGCTGCAGTGGCTGGAAGTGGCCACTGCACTCCAGTCTGGGCAACCAAGTGAGACTGCAACTCAAAAAAAAAAAAATTAAGCTGGGTTCGTGACCCACCTGGGCGGTGAGACCTCATCTCTACAATAAATCAAAAAATCAGCTGGGCGTGGTAGAGCATGCCTATAATTCCAGCTACTTGGAAGGCTGAGGTGGAAGGATCGCCAGAGCCCAGCAGGTCGAGGCGGCGGTGGCTGGGAGCAGCCATTGCACTCCAGTCTGGGTGACAGAGTGGGACTCCAACTCAAAAAAAAAAAAAAAAAA